TTCGGGCCGGCTCCCAGGTCGACGCCCAGGTCCCCGCCCACTGACCCCTCTCACCCGGCGTCTGGCTCCCCGTCGGTCCGCAGACCTGCACCAGCGGCAGAGCACCGGGGTAGACTAGCGTCTTCAGCGCGCGGCGCAGAACGCAAAGTGGGACCCCCTGGCGCCACTCCGAATCCGCGCAGGCGTCTGGAGCGCGGCGTCGCGACCGGAGGAGGCTTTACGGCTCCCGAAGCAGCTGGGGGGCTGGGGGGAAAGGCCCCCGAGATCAGAGGGGGCGGGGCCTGCGAGGCGGGAGGGGCGGGGCCTGAGGAGTGTCGTGTGCAGACGGAGGAGGACCGAGGGGAGGGCTGTTCTTCCTGTCCTCGGCGGTCGTTGGTCCGCCCGCTCTCATTTGCATCCTGGCTCTTTAGTAAACTCTTTTCCCCCACCGCTGTGATCGTTCTCACCCTTCCACCACCTGTGATCTTTCCCCTCTCTGGACTCCCTCCTCCCCGAATCCTCCTCCTCTAGCATCTTCCCTGCAGAATCCCCTGCCAGGAACCGGGCTAGAATCCAGACTCAGGACCCACCTCTCTGAGGGTCCTCTCCCAGAATCCTCTTCCCCTGCAGCCCCCACCTTGGAACCTACCACCCACGAGAATCTCCTTCCTTTCAAGGTCTCTTCTTCCCAGGATCTCCTGCCCCATGATCCCTCTCAGAAACCCACCCTAGGTCCTCCTCTTCGCAGCCCTCACCCCGGACTTCCTTTCCCCCAAATCTTCCTCCGCTCGGGTCCTCTTCCCCCCAGTCATCCTCCCCCGAATCCTTCTCCCCTCAGGACCCACTACCCCGGGATCTCCCTCCAGAATCTCCCCCTCTGGAAAATCCACCCTTGCCGAAACCCCCCCATCCCCTGCAAATCTTCCTCTCTCAGAAGAAGACCCCTCCAATTCCACCTTTCCCAGAATTTATCTCCCTCTAGAGACTCCTCTACCCAGCAACTGTCTCCTAGAATCTTCCTCCCCTTAGAATCCCCCTCTCATTTGGGACCCTTCCCCAGAATTCCCCTCTTCAAGAGCCCCACCCTAGAATCTCTTGGTCCAGAACCCCCAGGTGATTTCTGGACCTTCTGCCAATCACCCTCCATTTCAGACCTCCGCCCCACAGAATTCTCCAACCCCAGCTCCCCAACCTCATCTGAGAAACCCCAGGATTGGGTTGCTCCCAGCTTCCCCCACAGATGCCCCTACCTCCCAGCCACAGGATTCTCTCCATTCAAGAGGCTAGCCCACAGTTGCCTCAGTTTCTCTGGCAGTCCTGGGTCTGGAGTCCAAGGTTCAAAGGGGTGTGGCGGTTCACCTTGCCCGCAAGAGTGGAGATAGGGTGACGACTGGAAGGCAGGTCCAGGGCCAGAGGGAAAATCCCGCAACCCAGAGTCCAGTTCCCAAATGGTGACAGGGAGGAAGGGAGTACCAGAGGCAGACCTGGAGGGACAGACAGACACAGCACAGCAAGAGGTAGGCACACATGAAAAAGGAGAGATAAGCCAGGCTCTGTGGCTCAGCCTGTAATCCCACACCTTGGGAGGCTGAGGTGAGTGGATTGCCTGAGCCCGTGGGTTCGAGATCCACCCGGGCAATTTGGTTAGACCTCATCTCTACAATAAATCAAAAAACGAGCTGGGCGTGGTAGCGCGCACCTGTAATTCCAGTTACTTGGAAGGCTGAGGCGGAAGGATCGCCGCAGCCCAGCAGGTCGAGGCTGCGGTGGCCGGGAGTGGCCACTGCACTTCAGTCTGGGCGACAGGGTGAGATTCCAACTCAAAAAAGAAAAAAAGAAAAAGGAGAGATAGATAGGGACCAAGGGAGAAGAGGAGAAAAGAGAGGGACCGGGACAGTCAAAGAAGGACCAGAAAACACAAGCCTGGAGACAGATCCAGAAGCAGAAAGGCCCATCCTCAGAGGGAAAAGACACAGATACAGGCAGGCATGAAGTGTCTAAAATTCTCTAGACAGAAACAGGGCGGGGAGCAGAGAGCCCCAAATGTGCACCTGCACACAGGGATGAGGTCCAGTGCAGGCATTTCCCTGAGAAGACAGACGGCCAAGGCACACGCTGTACTGTCTTAGGGACCTGCTGGGGGAGGGCAGGAGTTCAAGTTATCCAGTCCCTCGGGGCTGATCTCCACACCTTTGCTGAGTCTGTATCCTCCCTGAGCTTTGGGGGTCAGGGAGTCCTCCTACTCTGAGGTTACTGTCTTTCCTGGGCTCTCTGAATACCTGTGGCTTGAGTGGAGCTGGCAGTGGAGGGGCAGGGAGCAGTTCCCCTCAGCCACTCGTCCTCCCATCTGCTCCCTCTTTCTGTAACTCTCTCTTCTAGGACCCCTGGGCCAGGGACCAGGGAAAGGCCAGAAGTGAGCAAGTAGCCCATGTTCCTGCCGCCCCGGGGGAGCCTAGGACCGTCCTGCTCCTGCAGCCCTGGTGGGGCCTAGGAAGCCCCCTCTGCCGGAGGGAGCCCTTTTACTTTCTTGACGCCATCATGAAGAGGCTGGTGAGGAGGGGGCAGAACCAGCAGACAGGGGCGGGCCAGTTGAGGGGCTAGGGAGGGGGTGTGTTTGAGGGACGGTCAGGCTCTTCCCCTCCAGGATCTGATTTCCCTCCTTACCCCCAAATCGTAGGGAGACAGAAATGATGGCACTCTCTACACCCCAGATGATCTCTCTGTGAGTATTGCATCAGCTCCTTCCTAAAGTTGGAAGCTTAGGGAGAATCCACTGGGCTCCCTGTGAGTGCTTAGGTGTGTGAACGCTTGAGTATACTAGGGGAGGAGGCAGCGGGACTAGTGGTGTGGCTGTTAAGCTCCTGACTCAGCCCCCAGCCTTGACAGATTTCATATATATATATATATAATTTTGAGACAGAGTTTGTTACCCAGGCTGGTAGCATGACCATGACTCATCACCACCTCAAACCCCTGGGCTGAAATTATGCTCCTGCCTCAGCCTCCTGGTAGTTGGGACTACAGGCATACATCACCACACCCAGCTAATTATTCTTTTTTTTTTTGAGTTGGAGTCTCACTCTGTCACCCAGGCTGGAGTGCCATGGCATACTCACAGCCACCGCAGCCTCAGCCTTCTGGGCTCACTCAGTTGATCCTTCCACCTCAACCTTCCAAGTAGCTGGAACTACAGGCAAGCACCACCGTGTCCAGCGAATTTTTGGATTTGTTGTAGAGATGAGGTCTTACCAGGTTGCCCAGGCTGGTCTTGAACCCGTGGGCTGGGGCAATCCTCTCACCTCGGTATTCTATTTTTTGTAAAGACGAGGAGGTCTTACAAAGCCCAGGCTGGTCTTAAACTCCTTGCCTCAAGTGATCCTCCAGTCTCAGCCTCCCAAAGTTCTGGGATTATAGCCATGAACCACTACGCCCAGCTTAACAGATATATTTTGTTTGCTTTTGTCTCCAATACCTAGAACAGACACATAATGATGACCACAGTTACATTTAAATAGTGCCTATTCTGCGCCAGGCGTTGGTCTAAATGAGCTTTAATTTTTTCTTTTTTTCTTTTTTTGAGTCAGGGTCTTACTCACCCAGGGAGGAGTGCAATGGCATGATCATAGCTGAATGCAGCCTCAAATTCCTTGGCTCAGGCAATCCTTCTGCCTCAGCCTCCTGAGTGGCTAGGACTATAGGTGTGAGCCACCACACCTGGCTAATGTTTTTTATTTTTTGTACAGACAGGATCTCACTATGTTGCCCAGGCTGGTCTGGAACTCCTATTGCTTTCACCTCCCAAAGTGCTGAGATTACAGGCCACCGTGCCCAATGTTAATTTATTCCTCTTCACACCAATCCTATAAGGTAGACAGGGCCACCATGTATGGAAGTGAAGGTTATACAATGCACCAGGATCCCGTGTCTACAGAAACAGTACTGTGTTCACATCGTTCACTTTGTAGATGTGCTTATTTGTCAACTTCCGGCAGGTGGCAATAAAATCTCTTGTTCTAATAAAACCAGCACTTAGAAGTATCTTAAGGAAGCATCAGTGTCATTTTCCAACTTGCACACAAGTACAGTATGGGCTAGTGTCAGCCCTTAAGGTAGGGGTTATCCAGGGCTCCATTTACATATGAGGAAACCGAGGCTCAGAGAAGTGAAAGGGTTTGTCCCAGGCCACAAATAAGAAATTGGGAATGGGGATTTGGAGTCATGACCTTGCCCAAGTACACCAAGTCACTTTGTCCCCACAGAAATCTCCTGCTGAGTCTCTAGGCTGCTTCAAATTGGAGCTGTCTGTGATTGGGTTCGAGGAGGGCCCATCTGTAGGGATTACTGTGTTCAGGCTACAGCGCCTGCTGGATGCTCTGGGGTCCCGACTGTGGGTGGCCAGCCAGGGCCCTTGCCTGCCCTGTGAAGGACATCCCCAGAGATCCGTCCCCCTCTTTCTGGCCAAACTCCTGGAGTTACTCCAAGGAGCTTTTTCTCAGCACCTTCCCACAGCATGAGCCTCGGAGGACGCACACTCCCAAGGTACAGCCGGAGAGGCTGGATGGAGAGAGGGCAGGAAACTTGGTTCTGAACCCTAAGCCTTCTCTTCCTTCTAGGCCAGATGACCACCTGGAGCCCCAGGAGCCAAGGGGAAGAGGCAAGGAGGAGGGAAAGAAGGTGAGACCTGAAGTCTCTGACCTTCTAGGGCAGGGAGTTAAAAAGATTGCCCCCACCTGGTCCCTTTCTCCCTCTCTTTCAGAAACTGCCTTTTTTCTCCTCTTCCAGGAAAGGACACATGAAAGAGGGACAGAGGTCTCGCTGTGCTGCCCAGGCTGAACTCGGTATCTAGATCTTTCAAATAAACTTTTTTTTTTTTTGAGTTGGAGTCTCACTCTATCGCCCAGACTGGAGTGC